AAAAAAATTAATAAGATTCTTCGGATTTTCAGGCCAAGTCCTTCATAAAAAAATTGTACCATCAGCCAAACAAGCAATTTCCTGTGTGAAAATACAATTTATAAATTTTAGCAAAGGTCGCTTATCAAAATCGGAAAATTAATCCGCCAGAATTGCAACGAAATTTCGTAAATCTAACCCCATTCTTGCAAAAAAAATAGAAATCCCACCCACGAGAAGCCCTTCAGGTTTCTGTTTTTCCCCGCTAATTTGTGGTATTGCGGATTCGCGGGGAAAGTACCAAAAATTCAGGTTCCGGGGTAGAAAAGAAGGGATGTTTATCCGATCATGGGCGAGAACATTTTGAAGGGAAATAATTTGAACCTTAACTTTTATTAATGCGTGTCTCACAGCTTAATTCAGCTTGATTTAAAACCACTACTTCGCATTTCGAGGCTAAAAAAGCTAAATTTTTGTTCGGGAGAACCACGAAATCAATTCCGAAAAATCCAGTAGATTGGGGAGCTCTATCTCTCCTTTCATTAGCGCATTAATCGGGTGAATTTGTAAATTTTGCAGGTTTTGCAAAAAGTTAAAGCTCCCCCCAGAAACCTACGACACCTTGATTGAACTCGAAATACCACATGATTCCGCAACTTTTCGCCATTTCCGCATTCCGAGCAACCAGTAGCCAAACCAACCGATCCCAGACCAATTTTTTCTCACACCACGATTCAAAGATTTTCCAGTCGATCTCCTCCTCCCCAGAAAAGCGAGGGTGGGGCCGACCAACAAAAAACGCAGGCGCCGTCGATTTCACACAACCCCGCCTGGAGCCCCGGGCTGCAAAAAAACACAAATACATACACTCGAAAATGTTTCGCTCCCCCGCAGCCGTTCCCTTCAGAAAGGTCCGTTCAAAAAGGCCCTGAAAAGGTTGCTGAAGTGAAGCCGATGGGGGGAACGGCAGGAAATCATGCGAAAATCCCGAGATTTTTGTCGGAACAATGGAGGGGCTGGAGAAGGGATAATAGGTGAACGAGTCATAAATAGGCCGTAATCTGGCTTTGGGTTTTGTTGTCTGCAGGAGGCAGGGCTGGTTTTGAAACGTTTTTTGGAGTTGGCTATAGAAAATTTGGAAGAAAAAGCTTTAGAAGAATAGCAAGGTTAAAGAGACTTGCAAAGGAGCGTAGTGGTGTGCGTATGAGATGACTACCAGGTACACCTCTGACTACTAGCGTACGTGCTTTGGTCGTCCGAAACAGCGAAAAAAGCTTCAAAAGTAAAGAACGCACGGATACGGGGGCTTAGAGGAATGTTGTGTAGCTATGTTCGAGTCCGAGAAGCACCTCTGGAGCTTGGAATCTTGTGCGCCTTGATGTCTCAACGTGAAAATTCCAAAAAAAAAATCGAGGTATTTAATGTACCCTAAAAATAAGCAACTAGCTATATTCAGATCAGCGAGATACAAATTTCACGTTAAAACTTATTAAAAAAATCAAGAAGCCATTTTCGCTGCATTTGAAGGTCCAAAAAGTTTGGAAAATCGGGGCTAACGCTAAATCGCCGTAAATATATTTGGTTCGTAAAAAAACTATAGTTCAAGGTGAGTTTTTACAGTTTTTATTAGTCCCAATTTTAAAATAGCCGTTTTATGGCATTTTTTACAAAATCCAAAAGTTAAATTGGCCTAAAAGTCCATAAACCCGCATTCCGAAAATTTCTGAATGGCAAATATCACCCAGGAAGACCCGCCGGAGCGGATTAGACCAATTTTTTTTTGAGATAGACAATGAAGTCGAGGGTGGAAAACCTGGCGTAATCCTGGTACTATGCTGGAAGGAGGGGAGGAGGTTGGCCTCTGGGCCCTCCCCCTCTCTTAGGGCCCATATCCGTGTGCACCATGACGACCCGCCGGCAGGAGGGCACTGGAGGAATACATAGACAAACCCCTGGCCCCCCGATTCTTCCTCCTGCGTCCAGTGGTCAGTCAAGAACGTCTAATTTCTCTGGACGTCCGAGGATATATTGTAGTGCTGCGGAAAAACGGGAAAAACTTCGGCGTTCCCGCGGTATAATGAAAATTCTGGTTATGTAACGCATTTTTGAAAGCAATTATCAGACAATACTTCATGGCAAAAATTACTTATTTGGGGCCAAAAAAACTTATGTTTTTTTTTGTCCCTACTAATCAGAAAAACGTTGCGAACACTGCGAAATTTAATTTCCGCTTCTAAACCAAATAAATCTAAGGCTAAAAAGAGTCTTTTCAAAAAAAGGGCTTTTGGTTTTCGCAAAGAGAGACGAATTCTCGTGGCAACAAAAAGTGCTAAATTCATTACAAACTCTTAAAATGCTACAAAATGCGGGAACAACAAAAGTTGCTGGCTTTTAAATTCTTATTAAACTCGGTACCATCCCAGATCACAGGTCCAGGTAGGGTTCCAAGTAATTTCAGAAGTAGATCTAAATGCAGTTTATTGAAGGCGGAAGCCGTAGACCGACCTGGATCTGGATCTCCATTTTAATAAGGTGCCAGCAACTTTTGGTTGATCCCACATTTTGTGGCATTTTAAGAGTTTGAAAGGAATTTAGCACTTTTTGTTGCCACGAGAATTCGTCTCTTTTTGCGAAAACCAAAAGCCCTTTTTTGGAAAAGACTCTTTTTAGCCTTAGAGAGAATTTAGCTCTTTTTGCCTCAATCTTGCTGTTAAGATGGGATATTTCTTCAGATCAATCCTTGTACGCAATACTCCAAAAAAATTTGCCTGCGGCGCTTCGTAACGGCACTATAAACCATAAGGATGCATGGGGACCAATTGGCAAAAAAGCTTTTGCGGGCAGGGTTCGAACCGGGGAGCCAAGTCTTCCCAGTACAGCGTGCTAACCACTAGGCCAACGGGGAGACTGGAGGCCTGCCTTGGGGAAGCTAGACCCGCTCGCCCTGACCCGGACTGGGGAGGCCAAAGGGGGAGTGTGGCGCCCCGTATGGCGAAGGTTTAAATTTAAAATATCTAAAAGGAGAAGCATTCTTTCGATGCAGTTTCCTCTTTACTTTGTCCGGCAAGGTCTAATGCATATTTGAGCAAAATTTCAGCCCAAACGGACATCACTAACCCCCGTTTTGGCCGCAATTTAGCTTTTAAACTTAAAAATTAAATATAAATTTTTTAAAAGCCTATTTTGAAAAAAACGCTTCTTCCTCACCTTCATTTACATCAAGTCGATATTGGTGGAAAATTTCAGCTCAAACGGACCATGGGAAGGTACTTTTTGACGACTACAAAGGTTTTTGCGTATGCACAGACATACATACAAACAAACGCAGACCCCCCCCTCGAAACGCAACTTAAATCGGTTGTTAAAATTCGAAATTTAACTTTTTTTTCACATTTTAAAAGCTTATAATATGCAAAAAGTGTCGCCGGTTCCGATGGTGTATTCAGTTTCGCGATCCAATGCGTGGTTCTTTTTTAAATCCGGAAAAGGACCCCAAAAGAGTCGTATGGGGGGGTACCTCAAACCAAAAGGGGTTAGCGGGCTACGCCCGCTACCCCCGACTCTGAAAAACGAGCTATTGGGGGCAAAATAATCGTAATGTAATTTTTAAAAACGACCGAAACCAGCTTAACTAATAAAAATATAAATGTCTGCTTGTAGACCAAGTTAACGCGTTAAAAATGTGCATCACAGATGAGATAGTTATAATTATGGGATTACTAATCGCCAACGCTCTGCGAAGCAAACAAACTTTCGTAACTACCTGTTGATCGTCAAGTAAACACGCTAAAACGAGATATTATGATCAAAAAGATTATAATTAGCGTGAGCATTACCCTGGAATAACATCGGAACATTCGATTATAGAATTAACGTTCCTAGGCCAAACACAAGTTTTCCCAAAACCTAAAATACCTCACCTAGCGTTCCCTACTTGTGAATGCGTGACTCCCACCCCTCCGCCGCTTCATCCAAACGCATCCATGCATCGACCATCATGGGATGTTGCCCTCGCCAGCGACGAGGGGTCCGATGGGAAGTCCGCATTTTCTAGCCGGTTACCCACTTGTTTCGCCTCTTTTTTGCTGATGATAAAAAAGAAAGAAGAGTCAACGGGTACTAACAATACCTTGAGTAGGTTGTTGCCCTAGAAGGGGTACCTTTTAAAGTCTACACGTGCTTAGCGGGCCAACAATCAAGAATCGGGGGTAGATGAGGGCTTTTCGTGGGATTCGAGGCACCAAAAAAATCTGCAAGGAGCTAAAGTAACGAGAAAAACTCCGTTCAAGCTCCAAAGGGCAATCTAGCGGAGAGCATTAGGGAAATTAGACGCGAAATAAGTTGTAGACGACTAAAAAAAATAATAAAATTTTGATAAATAAGCGTTTTTTTTTTGTTTTGCAAAGTACCAAGCCAGTTTGAGATCCTGAAAAACGTGACAAATGGCTCATATAGAATTTTTAGAAAGCACGACGACTAGCAAAGGTAATTTGGGAAAACGTCTATCAAGGGTTTTTAAATTAGCGGAGCTTTATCAATTTAAGCAAAAACTTTGAAACCTGACTCTGAACAGTAAGAAAAATTCAGACGCGCTAATATAAAATAAAGAAAAGAACTAAATTAAATCCTCGCGTTAAAAAGTAAGCTGGCAGCGATTATTAGGGAAATAGCCTTTAGATTAAGTTTTCACTCAAATCTACGTAAAAATATACCTCGAATTTCACCATATGATCATTTGGATGCCAAGAACCCCGAAAAATAACAAATTTACATCCGGATTTTACCTCGGGTGCAAGAAGCACCGGAAACAGCTGTAATTTGCTTCCCACTACCGCATAAGACACAGGTTTTCCGACAAGATAACCCGAAATTTAATAAATTTACATAAAAAATCTACCTGGCGTGCAAAAACCGCCGGAAACGGAAGCTATTACCCTCCAAAACCACGTATAAAATAAACCGTTTCGCCCGTTCGGAATTTTCACTCCCCGCTCGTCACCCAACTCGTCATCAACTCAACAATGGCAACCGCTGAACCGGCCGCCCCTCCTGCTGCCTCCCCCAAGACGGCCAAGCCCGGCGCTGACCCTGCCGCTGCTGCTGCGTCGCGTATGCATCCAAATTACTCAAATTTATCATCTGCTTTTTCCAGAAGATGGCGCCCTCACCGTGGCCGCCCTCGCCAACAAGTACCGCGCCGAATTCGAGCAGACGTTCGAGGCCTTCCGCGCCCGGGCCCTCAAGCTCCAAGCCGACGCCCCGCAGCTCATCCAGGAGACCCAGGCCAACGTCGAGCCGTACAAGCAGGACTTCATCACCACCGTGCAGGCCACTGGTGAGGAGACTTGTCTTACTTAGCGGACTTTAACAGAGTACGCGACGCTCCACTTACCTTACCTTCGGTATGGGTCAACTTACTTTTGTATCTCGGCTCCCTTTGGTGCTACAGGGTTGTAAAGTGTACCAAAATCTCGCCAGATTAAGGCGAACATTTTTGTATACTTTACGTTTCTGTAGCACAACAAAAAGCAAAAATCTTACCTCGCTTACTTGGCCTATGACCGAAGCCTAGGCTCGGGCTAGCCTTAACCATGCGTACGGTAAACCTAGATTTATTCTTAACCCCAAGCCTCGAGTATCTGTACTTCCAGGCGACGTCACCACCCCGCCCGGCGTCATCCTCTCCACGCTCTCCTGGGCCACCGTGCTCGTGCTCTTTTCCACCGTGGCCTCGTTCGCCTCCGGCTACCTCTTCGCCCCGATCCTGGGCCTCGCCATCGGAGGAGCCGGCGCCCTCGTGCTCGCCCTCGGCGCACTTCCGGCGTACAGCTACTACACGCTCAACCAGGTGCGCGAGGAGTTCGGCTGTTGTGTGTGCATCTCGGCTCACCTTTGCGCTGCAGGGCTGTGAAGTGTACCAAAAGACTCGTCAGGTGTAGACAAACATTTTGGTATACTTTACAACCCTGTAGCACAACAGGGAGAAGGAGAAGTGAATGAAAAACGCTTTGACCGTCTCTTTTCCAGGACATTGCCGCCAGCGCCTCCGACGTGACGATCCGCTTCCGCCTTCTCGCGGCCGCCGTCATCCAGGGGCTGCTCGTCGGCTTCATCCTGCAGAACTCGTACCTCTCCGGGGCCCCGATCGCCTCCCTCATCCTCGGCATCGCCGCCGCCGCCTACCCGTTCGCCGCCGAGAAGTTTGGCGGAAATCGCCAGGTTCGTCGACTAGATTGGACCCCTTGAAGACGTTGGCTTTTTAGATGCTGCTCGGTGCCTCGGTCGGCTCGGCCGTGGGTGTGACGCTGGTGCTCGGTCTCCTCTCTGGCTACCTGACGCTGCCCTACCTGCTCCTTTCGGCCCTCTACGGTGGTGTGACGGCCATCACGCTCCAGTACATGTACAAGAACGTCACCGCGGAGACGGTAGGTTTTGGGAGTAGAGGTTACCGAGCCTCAGCTTTGTATCTCGGCTCCGCGTTGGGATGGCACAGGGTTGTAAAGTATATCAAAAAAACTCGCCACGTCAAGACGAGCATTTTGGTATACTGGACACCCCTGTAACACGGAGGGGAGCAATGCACCCATACCGAAATCACCAAACTACCGGTCTATACTCGCTTTTCCAGGCCCCCACCTACCTCTACCAGCTCGCCCTTCTCGTTTCATTCGCCGCCGCCCGCCTCGTCGTCCACCTCGTCTTCGGCATGGGCCCCGAGGCGTACGCCCAGTACAAGCAGGGCGCCACCGCCACGCAGCAGAAGTGAATGCCCAACCCGCCAGCGCCCCGCCTGCACTGACCTGAGACCGGCCCGGTGGCCACCGCCTACTCGTCCCCAAACCCCACACCAAGCATATTGCCCTCCCCGGGCCCCCTGTTCTTTTTCTGATGGCCCCGTTCTGTTTTCCTTGGTCACCTCTTGGCGAATAAACGGTTGCCTGACATATCGTGTTTGTGAAATCACATTTTATTGCATTCAAGCAAAAACTACTCATGTGCATGATCAAAGTGTGTGCAGCTGCTGTTTGCTAAAGGAGTACGCATGAAAAGCCGTGGATAAGTGTGACTAGTTTTTTACAGACACAGAGACATGGATGCCGGCATCCTGCCGGGTGGCAGCCGGGAAATCGCCGCGTTCTTGCCGGGTGGCAGCCGCCGGCTGCCGCCGGTAGCCGGCGGCTGCCATCTGGCAGAAACCCGGCTGCCATCCGGCGAAAACCCGGCAGCCAGGTTTCTGCCGGCACATGCCGGCTCTTCACGAATCGCTTTTGCCAGGTTCTTGCCTGCATCCTGCCGGTTATTCGCCGGCCATTTGCCGTGCTTCTGCCAATATGATGCTTCCGCTTCCACTTCGCGATTGCAACATAGGCGACGCCTGTAATCTTGTGCCAATATACTAGTGCTTTATCTTGTCTTTAATTTCGTTTATCACTTACTTTTCGAAGCACGAGACTTGGCAGTAGACGTTCGCAGCAACAGCGAACTGTAAACTTGCATTAGTTTAACCTTTTTCAGCGTTAATGAGTTTTTAAACCCATTAAACTTAACTTAATAGTAAACATACTTTTAAAACCACGGTGCTTGGATACGAGAAGCAGGTGCAGTTTTCTCACTACAGGGTTTATCTAAACAAACAAACGGTTAGATTTTACTAAACTTCTCTTGTTTCCTGAAGCTACTTCATCACATTGGCGAAGCATATCGTTTAACGTGTAGGCTGGTGCATTATAGCCCAAAACTTCCTAAAAGGCTAATGAAACTGAAATACCTGGCTCGTCTGCAGTTCCTTTTAACTTGACATACAGGCACATTGAACCCAGAAAGACGGCGGCAGCTATTGAATCGAAATAAACTGACCTGAAAACTTCCATTAATTTGGCGAAAAATCAAAGGTGTTGCCATATATCAAATCTAAAAAACTCTAGTACCAATTCACAGACTGCGTTCTAAAAACATCAAACGTTTTTATAAGCTGTATACTTCTATAAGAGAACTTTGGCAAAGAGAGAGCCTCTTGTTGAAGAACTTTAAAAATCTAAATTTATGAAAGAAGAAACTGAACGCGCAAAGAAAACGCAGCGAAAAGCCGAAAAATTCGAAAGCTAGGGTACACTGGCTGTCAGATATTCAGAAATGCGCTCATGAGAGGTCGGGGCGCTCCGTAGCGTTCCTATGCCCGCGCGCACACTATGCTTGCCTACCGATCCATGATTTTTCGAGAGAGAGAGGCAAAGAAAGGGGCCAAAAAAAACTCACAAATTTTCAACTTCAAATGCCTATAACTTTCGAAAACGACGTTGTTGTGGGGAGTCCACCGATACGAAACATAGAGAAGACTCTTGCGCACATTATGGGAGGGGTTTTAAGGGTGATTTAGCGTGAAAATAAGGATTTATCTAGGATTTAAGCCGGAAAAATTGCGAAAATACGAGCTTTGTGCGCCGCGTTTTTCTTTGCGTTTAGCCTCATTCTTCCGGGGTTTTTAACCGATATTCATCGGAAAAGAATCGGTACTGTCAAATTGGGTACTTCTGCGGTCCTGGGAAGTAAAAAAGGTGCTGAATGAGAGATCCTAATAATTGAACAACTGAAGCTAGTCAAAGGTTTCAGCTTTGTACGGATGAAGGGGCTTGAAATCATTGAATTGGTGCTAATTTGGGCAGTACATGTCTTTGTTATTATGATATTCCTTTATTGAGCGAATCGGCACCATCTGAGACAATTTCTTCTTTAGAGCCCGGGAAATAGCAAAACTTGTATTTTCCGCTTGGGCTTCTCTTTAGATCGGTTTTGGATCCCCATCTGTACCTTTTGCAAAAAAGTGCAAAACCCTAACGGGCTTCTGTCAGTCAGAGGAACCGAACCAGCACCCTCTGCCTGGAGTTGGGACCGGCGCCTTAGACCACTAGGCCACGCCCTCCCCCACCCCAATGCGCGCCCTGACAGGCAGTGGGTAGGGCTACGAATAAATACATTTTACACCGGCAAGAATCCGGCAGTATTCCGGCAGCCGGCAGAAAGCCGGCAGGATTCCGGCAGACCCGGCAGCGTGCCGGCAAGAACCCGGCCGCCGGCTGTTTGCCAGGTCGACCAGCCGGCAGCCGGGATTCTGCCAGATGTCCCGGCAAAAATCCGGCAGAAAACCGGCAAGATCCCGGCTGCCAGCCGGCAGAGCCATTTTTCCCGGCTGCCATCCGGCACAAACCCGGCAGCCATTTCACTGTGGAGTCGCAAGAGTAGAAATTTTACATCGAAAAATAGGTTTGCAGTACGAACTACACCCAATGACGGCAGCGGAGCCTTTCGTAGTCACTGCTGGGGAGTTTTTTATTTTTATGCTCGATCGAAAATAATTTTTCACACAAGTTCTTCGTTTTTCACGTTTTTACAATCAAGAAAAATAGCAAATTTGTCTTTTTTGATAGTGGAAGCCTTTGAGCATTCCCATTGATTCTTCCTCCATCTTTAGAACTTCTCATTGAGAAAAGTTGCCCATCTCCTCTACATGTGCTTTCCGTCGGCATTGGAGCATTTTCTGGCGATAAAGCAGGCCAATCTCACGGCAGACGCCGCTCCATTATGTCGGGCCAAGCAGCCGGCAGCGACTCTCCTCTCTCTCTTTGCTGGTTCTATGCGCCCCGGAATGGTGAAACGCATCTCATGCTTACGTTGCGTTAACCTTTTGTCAGTGATTGTTAGTGCAAAGCCCGCAAATAAATAGCCTTTAATCTCATAAATCATCTGAGCGACACGCTACTGCTTTGAGAAGTATTTTTACTTTTCCCAAAATCGATATGGGGCTTGCTAGTTATTGATTTTCATTAGATCTTTGGCATTTTTCTGACTTCTACGGGGGGCTTTGTTTCCAATGAAATCGGTAGATTTCATTTTTTTCGTGCTTTTCCTTTCATTTGCAACCTTATTTTTTATTACCTTATTTTTTTCAGACTTTGGCCGCCCTCGATCCGCTATGGATCACCAAGCTCCAGGGAGCTCAAGGTTTATTTTTATTTGTTTCTCCTCAACTTTCTTTTAGCTCTCACCGCCCGGCCGATGATAGCGAATTACGGAGTAGAAAGGCGAAAGATTTGTTGTACAGTGTCTTTTTATAACTTTTTTTTAGCCGGCGAAAACGGGACATCATCGGCGGGGAGGGCGCGCTCCAAAGCACACCGAAACTAGGCGTAGATTATACACAGGTTGAACTTTTTTGAACCCGCTTATGGCCGACTTTAGAAACAAGTCGAGCTGGTGGCCCGTATACGGACGTGCAAGGATTTCTACGAGATCCTCCAGGTTGACAAGAACGCCAGTGAAGATGATATCAAGAGGGCTTACAAGTACGTTTTACTTTTACAGAGATTTCGTTAGTTTTCTGCACTTTGTAAATTTCAGTGTGATCATTTAGCGCGTATTATTATCGTTTAGAAAACTCGCTCTTCAACTTCATCCTGACAAATGCCGGGCTCCTCATTCCACTGAAGCTTTCTCGGGTAATTCCTTTTTGTTCAAGCTCTAACTTTGTGTTTTTAGCCCTCGGCAGTGCCTATGATGTGCTCTCGAACGAGGAGAAACGCCATCGCTACGATATGTACGGCAATGAAGAGGCTGCCCCGGCTAGGTAAGCTTGCTTTTCTGTTTTTGGCTATAACTTTGTTTTAGACAACGTCAGCACCACCATCCTCGCCACGGGGATGGCTATTTCCAATATGATTACTCGCACGGGTTCCAATGTGAGCTGAAAATGTGTGATTATAAAAAATCTGTTTTAGCCGATTTCACCCCGGAGGAGATTTTCAACATGTTCTTTGGCGGCGTGTTCCCGGATGAGGTGATGCGCCGGTAATTCTTTTTTTTCTTGCATTTTTATTGCTTGGTTTAGGCAGCGAAACCAGCAGTTTCGTCGTCATTTTCGCCCACGCCCAGAGGAAGAGGAGGAGGAAGGTGTTGAGGTAAATAAAAAAATCGTTTCTGCAGATTTTGGCATCTCTAAATTGTTACAAAACCTTTTCGCGTGTGTTTTTGAAATTTGGACGGTGTTTTCTACCGAAAGCTGCGAAATACGACGAATTACGTACTTTTTAGGCCGAAAATGGTGGCGGGCGCTACATGCTGATCATCATCCTTGTCGCCATTTTCATGAGCTACATCGCGCCGTTCTTGAACTCGCTGTCTGCACCACCGTTCTCGTTAAGACAAAACAGGTTCGATTTTCGTGCCCTTTTCATACCTATTTTAGTGACTACCCGATTCGCCGTGACACCGCCAACCTCCGAGTGCCCTACTTTGTCCAGCGCGACTTCATGGAGCACTACAGCACCGAGATTCGAAAGGTAATAACCATTTGTCTTGATTTTATTACCAATTTCGTTCAGATTGACAAAAAGGTGGAAGAGGACTACACGTACCAGCTGCGAGTCGAGTGCTACAAGGAGCAACAGCAAAGTCGGTTTTTGGTCTCAAGAATCGGTTTTTTCGCAGTATCTCGCGGGGGCGAAAGTTTTTGCATCAGTCTAGAAATGCCTAGTAGCTTCAAAGCAGGGATTTGATTTTTGTATTTGGCAAAACACAACCCTTTTTCAGCTAGAAGATTTGAAAGAATTTTGGTCAAAAGTCCAGGATTAGTAAAAAACCGGTAAAAAACACTTCCTCTATTTATATTTGAAAATTTGGATCCTAAA